ACAAAACACTAGTGGAATAGGCCATAAGAAATCTGAATACAAAATACCTTTCATTTTATCTATTTTTTCACAAAATCTCTTGATTTCAATTAATTTGCAAATCATTTCATTTAGAGAAACACTCATTAATTTTGAACACATTTTCTAAATAATAACAAGAATAAAACAAAACATTTATTTTAAAATCAGTACAACTGCTGAACACAAACCTATTTTGAATCAAATGTCTATTAATCACAAAATGGCTGAAATTATGTATCCTTTACAACACGTGCTCTCATTGATAGTCAAAACAGGTTTAGTATAATTCAGTAAATATGAAAAGTATTTGTGTTAAAGAGTGTAACCAATGGTTACTAATCCTATTAAAATACAGAATTAATAAGATAGATAATTTTCTTGTTATTTTAATTTTTAATAATCAATGATATTATAAATTTAAATCTATTTCACGTTTAATCTATTTATTTTAGCCATATGTTGAAATATCATAATTTAAAATACATTAAAACTTATTGTAATTATATTCATTTAATGTACAATTAATTTTGTATATTATTTAAATATAATCTTATTAGCAATTATTAAAATTTAATTAATTTGTGGTCAGAAGTAATGTTTCCAAATGCCATCACATGTACTCTCGTATGGATTGTCGAGAATAAGTGACATATCGTTGGGATTCAAGTCTTTCACACGAATCACAGACTTGTCCACCAATTGTGGCCAAACATTATGTGGTTTACTATCAATTAATACATATTAATAATACATTTAATTATTACACTAGAATTCAATTGCTATAAACTTTGGTTCAATTGATTCTGCCTCACGTGACCCGACGGTCAAATGATTTTAGCGTTGCGTCAATACATTATAGCATGAGTTGTATGGAAGCAATGCAATAATGCTATAATGTATTGACGCAACGCTAAAATCATTTGACCGTCGGGTCACGTGAGGCAGAATCAATTGAACCAAAGTTTATAGCAATTGAATTCTAGTGTAATTGAGATTTTTTAAACTCGTAATAAATACCCAGTCTTTGCAAAATCGGTCCAAATCTTCATTATATCTATACTAAAGTCGTAATCATTTTCAGTAAACAAGTGTTGATTTCTAATCGTAAAGCCGTAGACAAAGACCATATCTGCCCCGTGACAGACATACCCCTCATCGCAACCGTACTCTTCGCTATCGATATTCAATTGATAATTAAAACGATAAAAATACACATTTTGTCCGTATTTGGCGTAACTCTTGGCGAACAGATATGTGGGACAAGTCATCACTAAATCGCCATATAATGCACTCAACGCTGCCTTCAGTTGCGATGAATTAGTTTTGTCAATACCTTTGAGGTAATGATTGCACACTTCCTCCACATCTATGTTATGGTATTCACGGCTCAAATCGCGGACCGCTTTCACAAACAGTTCCACTGTTAGTTCAGACCGTATTTCCGGGATTAATATGTCGGCCAGCGATGGACCCTCGTCTTTGGTCGCACCGGCTATTAGTTCAATGTCTGGTAAAATATTTAAGTATAAAATATCAAAATTTTAACTATATAAAATAATCAATAAATTTACCACTATTATATAACCCTGTTTCAAATGCTTTTTGAGGTAATAATGGTAAGAATTCTGTGCCAAACACGGCGTGTGTCATAATAATAATGTTCCCGTTTTCGGGCGTCTCTATAAACAGGTTCGGGTCGTCGATTGCACGCAAACAGTCTAACCATTTGTAGTCATATTCGTCGCAATTTAAACGTCGGGCCAATTGTTTGGCCTTTTGAAGGCCCTCAACAGTGCTCAGCGCCGGACGCTCTCTGTTGTACATAACAGACCCGCTCTCCATAATAGCCCTCTTGAATAGGCCTTTGGATAGCGGGGAGAGTATGTGTG